GGGGGGGAGCGGCACAGCATCCCTCTCCCGCCACCGTACCAGCACGCTCGGGGCCACCAACCTCGCTGGAGCAATTATCTTCCCGATTAGTGGATTTTCAGTCCCTTCTGTGAAGTCTCAGCTAAATTACTTCCCCCCCCACACCCCCGATACAACGTAGTCCAGGCAGGTACTGAGCACAGAGGCCCCATTAGTGTGTAATTAGGTAGATTCCAGCAAAACCATCCTCAAACTCCCTCCTTCTCCTCGCCCCCCCTTTTCCAAAAGCCGGTCTCAGGCATCAGCACGTTAGCGAGATGTAAATTAGCACCTCCAGACGAGAGCAGAGTTCACCCTGCACTGGGCTCTGCCTTGCTGTGCCAGTGCACTCCTCGTTTTAATAGTTTAATAAAAATTAGCATAATTAACGAACATCTGTATGATCCAGAGTGGTGCAATTTGGCACTTGGAAACGAGGACTTAAACATTATTGCTGGGAGTTTAATGTTGTTTTAATTCTTTCTGGCACTGCGCAGTGAAATAAACGCTCGGTGCCGCGAGTTCTCGGCTGGCTCTCATTTGCATTTTCCTCCCTTTGATTATGAGCAATCGCGGACTACCCGGCAATTCATCAAAGCAGAAATTATTTTAAAATACCTCATAGCGTTCAGGCTATGGCAGAGTTGGGGGGGGGGGCAGGGAGAGGGGAGGTTGGGGGCTCCCCATCACGCCTGGGGTGCCCCTCGGCCCCTCTGCCCACGGGTCTCCCGGCTGCAGCAAATAGACCTGAATTTTTTCCTTCTGGTTTTGTAGTGGGATTTTTTCCCCCCCCGGCTGGTGAGGACAGCGGGGCAGGGGGGATGTAGCCCCCATCCCTCCCGGCTCCTTCATTTCCAGCAGCATCACAGGGGCCTGACTCAGTGCTGGTGCCGTTTGCTGGGGTGTGTGTCCCCGGGGAGCAGCGGGATCCCATCCCGGAGAGCTGTGGGACTCCTGGGACCCTTTCCCGGCTCCAGCGAGGGCAGCACCATCTGCAGAGCTGGGAGCATCGGGAGCAATGTCTGTCCCTGATGACTCTCAGCCCCTCTCCTAAGCAAAGCCCTTTCCCTCTCGGGAAGAAGGGATGAGCTCAGAGACCCACTCAACACCCCAGAGAGGCGAAGGGGGTCAGAGCTTACGTGGGCTACGGGATAGGATGCGCTGCTGTGCACATCACTTGTAACATCTCCTTTAAAAACAATTAAAAAAAAAAAAAGCTCCTATTTTGATGGCAAACTTCTTAAGCCTGTATGTGCTAACTCCTCCTCTCGCACACAGGGAGGTTTTCTCTGTTATTATTTGCCTCCAAAATGTGCTGTCAGGGGAAAATCACACGTAAATCTGGGGAGAGAACACATTACCCAGACATGATCCACCTGAAGGGGCTTCTCAGAGCTCCAGGCTGGGGCCTGGGACACCCTGGGCTTGCCACCTGTAACTAAACTACCCCAAAAATGTGAATTAAATGCTGAGTTTCTGAGCAAGCTGCAAGCCGTGCCCCGCAGGACCCAGAGCGAAGGGGGAGAGCGGGGCAGGACGAAGGGGGAGAGGTGGGACTGGGGTGTTTTCTGCCAGGTACGAAGGACGGGACCTGAGCTGTGTCCCCTGCGCTGGCACTAAACCCACGTCTCTCCCTCTGTGTCTCCCCAGGAGTACAACATGTACGGCTGGTGGGTCGGAGAGCTCGACAACGTGGTCGGCATCGTCCCGAAGGATTACCTGGTGGCTGCCTATGACCTGGAGGAGCGATGAGGACCGCGGTACCCCAGGTGAGAGGTGGCACCCCGGGGATGCACCCGCTGGGGATGCGGCGGGGAGGCGGCTCCCTTCCTGGGGTGCCCCAGCGTCTGCGGGGTGCTGAGCCTCAGGGACTGTCTTTGGCTCCATCTCCTGGTCTCCGTTTTACTTGGGAGCAGGCGAGACCAGGAACCACAGTCGCAGTTCAGGGATGATGCCACCCTGCCCAGTGTCCCTCCCTGGAGTTCAAATCCTTCAAGCTCCACGGGAGAAACGTGCTAAAACCCCCACAGCCGCCTCCGTCGGACCCAGAGAGCTGTGTGTGAGCGGCTCGAACACCAACACTGACACCAAGCAGTGTTTCTCTCCCAAACAAAGTCTGTTATGGAGGCACGTGGCAGACAGGGAAACTGAGGCACAGGTCAGGGCTGGGAAAGCAGAGGGGACAGAGCCAGAGGCAGAGTTCTGACACCCGCCTGGGGCAGTGAGACCTCCCCATTTGCCTGGAGATCTCCCACCCTCCTTATTCGCCTCTGTGTCCACGAGGCACAGTCACGAGCGGCTGTGTCAGCCCCAGCTTGCATCTCAGTGTCCCCTTCCCCACTGTCACCCGTGTCTCTCCCCGTGCCTGAATCCAGGTTCTTCTTTCTCCTTGGCCACGCTGAGATACTCTTACATATGCTGAGACACCATCCCCACCACAAGCCTCCCCCTGCTTCGAGCACCCAGTGCATGAAGAGACCCACGTCCCATCACCGGCCCACGCACTGTGTCCTGGAGCTCTGCCGTGTGGTACCCACTGCGATGCCGTTGGGGCATGGCGGAGGGCACGGGGGACTGACAGCCCACAATAAAGCCATTTTCTACTCCACGTTTTGGCTGCTGTAGACTTGGTTGTGGGTCTGGAGCTGGAAGCTGGTGCCGGCAGTGGCTCCTTGCCTCCAGCCCCGGCTCTGAGCATCCCCGGAGCCCTCTGGTCCAGTCCCATCCCAGCCCACGACTGAGGATTAACCCAGCGCATCCTCCTCCTCCTCCTCCCGCACTTGGCTGAAGGGCCACTAGATGGTGGTAAGTACCTGCTGACTGCAGCCTTCCCGGGGAGGGTGCCCAAACCCCCTGGGCTGGACCAGAGCAACTCCCCCCGCCCCCGGTACCCGCCGCTGGGGCGCTCGGTGCCCAAGGAGGAGCATCGCCCGCGGTGTGAGCTCAGGCATCGCCCCAACGCCTGCTCCGAAGCACAGCTGGGCAGATGTTTAGAAGCCAGGCACAACCTGGGGGACCCCGCGGGACCCCAGAGGCATTCGGGGGGGGGGCTGGGGGGATGCAGCTGAATCCGTTCCGGCGCCTGCTGCCTCGCCAGGCTCCGGCACACGGACTCGCTCGCAACCCACCTCCCTCCCACGCACATCTTTGGTGTTGGAGGATGGGTTTGGGATGCCCCAGAGCTCAGCTTGGCAGGGCACAAGCTTGGCTCAAATCCATCCAGTGTTCCCGAGCTGCTCTTCCAGCCCCAGCTCTCTGCACCCTGAGCGCCTGCGGGAGCCCACGCCAGGGTGGCAGGAATCTGTGTGCCTGGAGAGAGAAACGCTCCCTCTGCTCTGCCCCTCGGCGTGATGCTCAGCGTTTCCCTGTCTCCATATCCCCATCCATGAGCATCATGCAAGGAACATTTTGGGGGCAGCTGCAGAGCCAGTATCCATCTCTCCAGCGTCATTCCTGGGAGCTCTTTGGGATCCCAGCAGGGAGGAACTGGTGCTTTTGCCCAGTCGGATGCTTCGGTCCAAAAATGACCAGGGTTTGGGGCTGACTGGACACATCTGCCTCAGCCCTATGTATAGGAAACGGCCTGGCTGTTTGCACCCCCGTTACCGCTTCCGATGCTCAAGCATCAGGAGGTCCGATCCTGCCCCAGACTCACCCAGGACACCCGGGTTGAGACCTGCGTGCGCTGCTTGAGGAGGTGTTGGGGAGATGGGATGGGAGCGGGAGATGGGACGGGAGCGGGAGATGGGCGCAGGATGCGTTGGCCAAACCCGGGCTGCTCCAGCCCCAGGTCCGAGCAGGAGCCCTCCCCTGTTGCGGCGTGACCGGGGATGGAGGGTGGGGGGGGAAACACCATGGTTTGTTTGCACAGACTTGAGAGACAGCTTTGCTGGAGGGGGGTGAGGATGCGCTGTCTGGAGAGCCTGGCCCGCTTCCAGGCGGCGAGGCTGTTGTTCTGGCAGGCAGTGGGGAGGAGAGAGACGTGCCAGGCTGCGAGGGCGCGGGGATGGGGATGGCGGGGGACACACACCGAGCCGTCCTCCCCTGCTCCGGCTGGGGAAGGTTACCTTGAGCGGCTCTGCGTCCCCACCGTGTCCCCTGACATCCCCACCCCACTCCCAGAGGTGATGGGGTTGCGGCTCCCTGCCCAGAGCTGACTCACCGGCTGCCATCACCCCCGGCAGCCATCAGGCCACCGAGGGACCGAGCCAGCCCCGTGTGTGGCAGAGGGGACCGTCACCCCCCCCAGGGCCATTGCTCCCAGTCTCTGCACCAAAGCAGCCCTGCACGGTGCCACCCAGGCAGGACCCCCACCCCAGGGGCTCTCTGCAGCCCAGGGGGGAGCCCCGATGCTCAGCTCCTTACGTGCCGGAGCAGAGCTGTTTCCCCCCCCCCAGCCCCGCCCACGGCCAGGTCTGCCTCTGAGTCACTGTTTTCCCGACAGCTTCGCAAAGCCAATCAACACCACTAAAAATAATTTCTGCCTGGCTCCAAAGAGCAGCCAGCAGCGGGGCTGCAGCCCCCCGGGGCGGGGGGGAAGGATGGGCACCACAGTGCCTTGTGAGGATGCAGGAGAGGGGATGGAGCCCTCGCTCCGGCAGCCCCACAGGCTGCCCTTTCCAAATCCGCCTTCCCAGGGAAACCCCCCCAGGGCAGGCTGGCTCCCAGCAAGGTGTCAAGCGAAAGACATGGCTGTGCCAGGCCAAGTTCGCGGTGCAAACGGTGCTGGGGGACCGCAGGGAGCCAAGGGCAGGATACGGCCCCGATCATGTTGTTTGCGTGAAGCTGCGCACAGGCAAAGGCCACGTGTGGGCGAGGGCACGCGTGGGCGCAGGAGCAGGTCCGTGGGCACAGCTGGCCTCACAGCTGCGCCATTTGGAGCCGCACACTCATGAATATACATGAATATGCATGAAGGA